AGAAAATCCTCTTGGTTTAAATTGAAGATTTGAGGGTCGAGTTGATGTCGGATTTTAGTAAAGTTCATATGGTTGAACTCGTGGTTGAATGGTCGTTCATATTTTGTAACTTTTGTTGGGTTCCGAGATGTGGGGCCCACGAGAGATTTTTGGGGTTAAATTTCGAATTTTTGTAGAAAATTTATATTTTCATGTGAAATTTATTCCTATAATTTGTATTAATTGAATCGAATTAATTATGACTAGATTCAAGCCGATCGGAGTCAGAAAATCGAGGAAAAGGCATACTACTTGACTGATTGAGCGCGATTTGAGGTAAGTGACTTGTCTAACCTTGTGTGGGGGAAATTTTCCCTAAGATTGGTATTGATGTGATAATTGTAATGTATTTAGAATCGTGTACACGAGGTGATGAGTGTGTACACGTGCTAAATGTGGAAGATTATATCTTTAAATTATGTAGATCACTGTTGCATATTAATTAAATTATTTTATCTTGTTATATTCTTCATCATTGATCTAATTTTTATACTTTAAATTTGCTTGACCTTTTCTTGCTAATTATTTTACCTATTTAGTTGAAACTTGGTTTCTTTTATTCTGTGCATTATTTGAAGGTTAAATTTCTTTAATTTAAATATTATTAATATGACGTATTTGATATCTTAAATTTGGTATTGAGGTAACGTGTTAAAAATTGTGAAATATTATTTTTGCTCAGTTATTTATTTTCGAATATTTTGTGAGATTTTGTGCTCATTGTGATTGAGTCATGAACTCCCTATTGTGGAAAAATATTATTGTTGTTGATTTATTTTGGCAAATTAAAATGTTTGAGCACTTGAGGTGCAGATTGTGATATATTGTGATATTGATACGCATGCGGTGGTATAAGGTCTGGGTGTTGAAACGCATGCGGTGAGATAAGAGTGGCTTGATACGCGTGGCTAGTAGGGAAACTACTAGAAGTCATACGGTGTGATAAGGGTGGTTAAAACGCGGGATGCTATTTCGAGAAAAATATTTTCTTTAAAATTAAATGTGAAGGCTTCCGCGGTGATATAAGGAAATGAGATATTGTGAATTTTTTTATTATTTGGGACTACGAGGCGGTACCTCGGGAATGCCCTTGTTGATATTTATTTATGACTGCATTTGCCTTTGATTATTGTCGTGATTTTTCTTAAAGTTGTAAATTTCTGTTTTCTTTCCGCGAGGTATTATTTGCCCTTATTCTGTATAATTTAATGGTGACATACTACTTACTTGATTCATTTTCATTGTTATTTATTGTTATTATATTGTTAAACATTTCACCATGTCTTTTATTATTCCAGTAGGGCCTGATCTGACCTTGTCACTACTTTACCGAGGTTAGGCTTGGCATTTACTGGGTACCGCTGTGGTGTACTTATGCTACGCTTCTGCACATCTTTTTGTGCAGATCCAGATACTTCCTACCAGCTCAGATATCAGTGAGCTACCTGTGTACGGAGACTTCGAGGTATATCTGCCAGCGTCCGCAGATTCCGGAGTCCCCTTCTATCCTTATTATGTTGTTTCCTTATTTTTCTTTAGACTATGATATATATAGACATTGAGGATAAATTCTTAGAAGGTTGTGACTTATTCCTACCGAGTTTTGGGAGTTGTAATTATGTGAATTGCAGATTTATTTATTTCAGATTTCTATTGTTATTCCGCATTGATAGGCTTACCTAGTCTTAAAGATTAGGTGCCATCACGACATCCTAAGGAGGTAATTTGGGGTCGTGACAATAAGAAAATAATTTAATTATTATGGTATGAATGGTCATTGATCACGTACCTATTGAGATTATGCAAAAATATTAAGGTAGTTTGATTATTACAGAGAAAAAGTAATAGAAGGAACATATCTTGCCTAATGATTTTGACCATGACCATAATGGTATAACTTTCTCCTTGAAAGAGATACTCACCATATGGATATTGATGAATATGTGATAGTAGAAAATTAATTGAAAGCTCTGGAAGAGCCAATTATACTATTTTGGAGAAATAAAATTGATTAGCAAAGAAACTTATTTAGTTTCTAAAGTATTCGCGAAAGCGGTTCGTTATATTGAGACTATAAATAAAGAAAATATTTAATATCTTCTAACTACAACTTGTAGCGGGGTAATATGTATGTGAAAAGTTACCCGCTTTATTCTCTAATTTGTACTACATAAATAAAAGAATGACACAATAAAGTAAAAGTTTATTGATATAAAAACACATATCATAATAAACTTGGAGTTTATTGATAATTGCACACGTCATGGTGTAAACCTGAAGTTTATCAATAATGATAATTTATCTAGTTGTCATAATTGATTTAGCCATGTTAATTTAAGTATGATGTGCAAAAAATAAAAGAGAATTCACATGGGTAAATATTAAAGAACTAGAAAGTTCTTTATGAATCTTCTTACATTGCTTGTTCTTATTAATTAATAGACCAACTAAAATTGGGATTAAATCCCATGAATACTGAAAATATCAAAGGTGAATATGGGCTCATTCACCTGTCATGTATACCGCATAAGATGCATCTATGAGATAGTTACATGTGCGATTATTATTAACCCACAACCCGGTGCTTGCGAGGTAACTAGCTCAATAATTTAATTTAGAGCATAATTTTTAAATTTTCTATTCAAGACAATTCATTTTGATAAGTTGGTTTACATCACATTTGATTTAGCAAAATAATTTATTGAGTGCCTCCACTTAATATCTAAATTGTTGCTTATGAGAATAAAATTATCTATATCAGTTTGATATAGGATATATACAAAAGTATATTATATTCTCCCTCACAAGTGGTTCAAGGTCAGGAATCAAATAATTTCATCTTATTATTATTGATGTGCGGCTTATATTTTGATTAACACCATAACACACAAAGGCGGGTTTCCAAAATTGAGGAAGCAGGTTAGTTTTTCTAACATGAGGGGGAGACAGGATAAACAATTGAGAAAAAGTTACGTGGATGAATTATCATTTGTACATCTAGACAGGATAACACCTCTGGAATGAATTATCCTTTCAAATGCTTTTTTTGTTTATCATTTGTGCAAGAAAAATCCAATGGGACAAAATCTTGTAAGGAAAAAAGAGCAAAACGTGTATTAACTCCCCCTTATGAGAGCATCAATTCACATCTTCGAACCTTCGCATCCCCATGTTACTTTACTTTATGGAAACGAATTACTAAAGATGAAAAGCATATGAAAGGATGTCTCCCATTAGAATCCAACTATTTTATAAAAGAAAAATCAAAAGATGATTAAGAAAGTTCAAGTTGTGAAGAAATAGTTCCGTCTCATGTGTAAGAAAGCAATGTATTTGGGTTGTCACCTTGATATACAACATGAAAAAGTAACAATATAAGAAACAAGATCCAAGAATGAAAAGGGATATAATTACTAAAGGAATACGAATTGTGGCTAGTATTCGAGGTTAAAAAAAGCATTTTCATGGGATTTTGTAATCACCAGCCACTACTATTCATCGCGACAATGATGATTCATGATTACTAGCTATATCAACTTTATGTTTCCCTCTTGCAAAGAACAATCTAAGGTAATCGCTCTGAAATCACTATCATGTCATATTCCATGAAAAGCTCGAATGACTTTGAGCAAGAGGTACCTATGCTCGAAACCGACAGAAGTGGATAGAGAGAATACCTAGCTATGGGTGACAACTCTATCTAAAGAACTCGACAAAATAGACCCTAAACTTTGAAAGAAAGGATACCTTCCTCACAAAGGGGATCACAATGACTAGGCCCGGATGACTACTTATGAAAACACAAGTCTAAAAAAGGTCGTACAACTATGTATGGGGCTGACACTTGCTCAGTGCTGAAAAATCAAGGAAGTCCTTGACCTAATGACAGGGGAATCAACATCTAAAGGTTTAGCGAAAGATTCACTCTCGAAAATAAGAAGTTAATGTCTCAGATGGATAATGTCAACTACTTGACTCCATCTAATGCATTTGTTGTGGTTATCTCATATCCTTTTTGTTTTTTCGTATGATTTTTCTTACTATACTTGTTGGTGTAGCATTATAAACGTACTGTATTATTACTCTTGCTATCGTCGAGATAAATTTGACCCCTTCCAGGTTAATTTGACCTCTACTACAAAAGTGAGAATTCACTTCAGATAATCATGTTTTTGCTAGGCAGCATATGGAATGATCGAAAGTGGAATCTTTTGGGTATGTATAATCCAATTCGAAAGTAGAGTTATAAGAAAAGCCCTCTCACGAAAAACTAATCTCACATTAAAAATATTTTCATCTTTTGATTCGTCATGTACAAGAAGCACTGTAGTCCATACAATATTAGGTTAAAATATTTCCGTCTTGATTCAAATTATAAATGATTTTTAGTAATAAAAGTAATATATTTGACAACTATATGTTAAATGTATAGATCACAATAAAACTGCAATAAAGAATTATTTAGTTTTTTGAATATTATTAGTGTCCTATAAAAAATGAAAAAAATCTTTTAAATGAGATGATCAAATTTTGGCATATACTATTCGAAATTGCTCAAGTTTTACAGTTGAAAGTCTCAATCCCTTTATCCCTTTCATGACACCAACTTGAGGGTTATTTTAAGCCATAATCAATTGTAGTAGACTAGTAGTAAATTCGAATCATTTTTATCGAAGAATTTGAATATGTGAAATCCACTCATTTTGTGTTGGAGCTCCATTAATGGTTAGAATAATGGACTAAATTTTTTTACCAAGGACAAAATCAAAATGATTTCTAAAACTAATTAAATAATTTCTAAAACTAGTATAAGTTCAAATTTGAAACATTTTCCCCAAACGCGGAGCATGAAATAACGTAATTGCATGAAAATTCTTCTTAGAGAAAAACTTCCCCTCGTAGCTTTACTTCATTTTCGGGCAAAACGTTTCTTCCGTTTACCAAATTATGATCAATCCACTTGTCTCTTTCCTCTCGATCTCTTTCTCTCTGGTCACACTCGAGAGAGAAAGAAATACAATTAAATTTTCTTTTCTTGTTACATTTTTCTACAAGAGTAATGTAAGGAAAATTGAAAATTCCTTACTTTTCTCTTCCTTCTCAAGATTCAAAATCAACAGATACACATCATATCAATTTGAGATGTGGGTTTTTGTGAATGTTGCATAAATGGGGAAGATAATGGATCAAAGGAGAAATGGGTGTTTGATATTTTCGTTGTTGGTTTTGGTAGTAGCTGTGAAGGGTGAAAATTTGGTGTTCAATGTGAAGCATAAATATGGTGGGGGTAATAAAGGGTCGATTTTGAATGATCTTAAAGCGCATGATAGCCGCCGTCACAGCAGAATGCTCACCTCCGTCGACTTCAAATTGGGTGGCAATGGTTCTCCCACTGATGCCGCGTTAGTTCCCCTTCTCTGTTTTTTTTTTTTTTTAAATTGTTTTTTTCTTTTGGCAATTTTTCGTGTATACTGCATATTGTATTGTGTGCATATATTTTGTGTAGGCAAATTTATTGCGTTTGCATAGGTTCTTCATAATTAGTACTCTCTATGTCTGGTTGTCTCCATGTGACCTGTCGGTCACGGGTTTGGCCTATAGACTCAACCCGCCTATGGGTGTGGCCCTTCCTCGAACCATGTGTGAACGCATAATGCTTTGTGCATCCCAAGTTTATCATGTCTGCACAGTCAGTGGCGAAGCCAGGAAGTTCAATAGTTCAATAAGGGTGTTCAAATTTTTAACTTTGACAGTGGGTTGTACAAGGGTGTTTCAAAGTTAATTTTTTTATCTATAAATTTACCCTATATACAATATAAATTTCTCGGCGAAGGGTGGTCAACATACATACCTTCGCCCCTGTGCACCGTGGCAAAGCTATGAGGAAAGAGGTTCAATTGAATTCCCTCGTCGGAAAATTATACCGTGCAAAGAGTATCAAAACATTTTTTTTTTTGTTTTTGTATTTATATGTTTGAATCCCCTTGATATAAGTGAAGCTTTTAGTATAGTGACGAAGATGCATTGTGACATATATTTGAATCGCCTTATAAGGATTCCTGGCTCCACCACTGTGTCTGCAAGATTTGTTTTTGGTTTACGGAGTTTCCTTTAAACCCAATTAAAATTACTTACGTGAAGAGAACGTACAAATAGCTTTAGCTAAGCGAAAACGTCTTCTTGCTTAGGATTGAGGCCTAGATGTTGTTGTTGTTGTATGGATCCTCTGCATAAGTTTTTGATAATTCAAGCTCTCTCTGTGTGAATATATCCAGCTTATATGACCCATTGGGACGGTTGATATTTACTTCAAATTTCAAATTTGATTTAAGTGGAGAAGAGTAGAAGGGCGAGCCCATTATTCACCAAGTTTTGAACCTTGCGCTAGTCGCACTAAGGGATTTCTCCGTCATCAAAAAAAAGTTTCGAACTTTAATTAGATGTTTGCTCTATCATATTAGCTTATCTCTATTACTATGTTTTTCCATTATCTAACGTGTTAAAACAATTTAAGGTCTGATTATTGATAATTTGATAGTGATAGTGGGTGTTTCTTGTATTCATTCTTTCTTAAGAGAGGCAGACCCAGGATTTGAGCACAATGGGGGCACCATTGTATGCTAATCACTAGCGATAAATTAAATTCGGCGTGCAACTCTTTGAAAACTTAATATTATGATGACTTATCGTTCAAGTATCAATAAAAAGAAGTTCTAAAGAAACAGAAAGCAGTGACCAGAGAGAGATTCCTTCGCAAAATGGATGTTAGGGAAAGGGAAGGTGTTTGATTAAGCATGTTTCACACTTTAAATTTCTAGTATTTTAATTTAAAAAGGTATGCTTAAATTATCAAAATTTACTAAAAAAATCAAGATTATGAGTATGTTAACAGTCAAAGAACTGAAGAAGAGTTTCAAACTCTTAGTTGTCATTGCTGAGTTGAAGTCAAAGTTATTGTTGAAGAAGGATTTGTATGTTTCTATTTGTGGAGTGATAAGTTGCAATTTGAGACTTTTAATTTTAAGGTAGGGATTTGAAAGAGAATAAAACTAATTAAGTTGACTATTATGTATTAGTACTAAGCTATAGTTGAATTCAAAAAGAAGATAAAAATTTAAAATTAAAGCAATTTGCTATTAAGTCTAAAAACGGTTGTATTCCAAGAACTAAAACATAAAGGAGAAAAGGCTGAAGAGGAGTTTCGAACCCACGTCATCTAGACAAGAAGCGAACTTAAATGCCCAACACAACCACTTCTCCATTTGCCTTTTTGTGTTTGAGGGCACATCTTAAATATTTAAGAGGTCCCATATATATGGACAGATATATATAACATATATACACAGTATTTTTGCCGAGGCTAACGGGTCCCGTGAACCCTCAACCCACAACGTAGGTCCTCCATACAGGGTGTTGAAATTTTAGAAAATATGCAGCTTTGTTTCTCAACATTATGACTAACTGATATTATTGCTTCTTTGTCTAGCTCAGTGATTGTTAGTTGTTTACCACAGTAAGTTTTAAAGATTTATTTTTCAAAATGCAGTCCCCCCTCACACAACTTCACCTCCAAAAAATAAATATATAAGCAAAAAAGTGCTATGGACATGCAAGGCATGACTTCATATATATTGTGGTGGTGGTGGAGAAATTATGAATGCTCATATTATCCTTTGCCATTGTGGTTATGCATTTTCCTTTTATATAAATGATGCAGGCTCTATTACACTAAGTTATCAATTGGAACGCCTTCAAAGGAATATCATGTCCAGGTTGATACTGGAAGTGACATTTTATGGGTGAACTGTGCTGGCTGTGAGGGATGTCCTACAAAAAGTGATCTCGGGGTATGATTCTTCTTCCAATTTATGTGTTATACTTCCCTTTCTCAGTGCAGATAATGGATGCTATGTTAGGATCGGAACCCGGGTAGTGCGGAATTTAGCCAAACAACGGTATAATGATAATAACAAAGACAATGGAAGTTAATAACAACGACAATTAAAGTAGATAAAGAAGACACAAATTTAACGTGGTTCGGTCAAAGTGACCTACGTCCACAAGCGGAGAGGAGAAATTTACTATAACAATAAGAGTACAAAATTAGAGTAAACACTCTAATTAATCCCAAATACCCTAAGAGAATAACCTCACAAGATCACTCCAAAGAAAGGGTTCACACAAGTGCTTCCCAACACTTAACTCTCATACAAAACACTCTTAATAAAGGAAGAAAGGAAGAAACAAGAAATGAAGACTCAAGTCTTGTTGGTGTGTCTAAAATGAACTAATTGCCTTCCCTTATATAGGCAAAAAAGTCTTGGCCTCTTAGGTGTAAAAGAAGAGATACAACTTGTGCAAATGATGTCCAACACACAATGCAATATTTTTGGGTCCCAAAGAATATTGCCAACAAAGTCTACACTTTGCAAAGATGCTTATGCTTATGTGAGATAGACTCCATTAGCCAAAATATTGGCCATAATTACAAATCTCCACCTTGGCCTAATTTTGGCTGATATGGTAAATTTGCTCCACCTTCTCCGCAAAAGTCCCAATGGGCATATGTCAAAATTTAATGCCATCAAAATCAAACAAGTTGTCTGATACCGAAACTGTAGTAAGGCCTATAACAATGGATCCCAATAAAGTATACAACGAACCAGATCTGTGTGCTTTCATGATCACA